AGAATATCTTAAGCTACTGACATGTAAAAAAAAATGTACCTATAAAGGTGGGGATATCACTTCTTCCTGATTTTGGCACTGAAAGTACAGCCATGAACAAAGAGAGACAGGAGCTTCACCTGTGCCCAGCTCAGGCACCTCAGAGAGGTTCTTCTGTCAAGGCATGAGGCCTCTCTGAGGTCTGTCCTACACCTGCCAGGGACAAGGTCACAGTCAGGCCAGGGCCATGCAGATCCTGCTGGGACATTTTCATCATGTTGGGACTACCCTACCACCCTCAAACACAGTTTGTGTCAGAGACTATGGAAGGTTCTGATTTTATCCTTCAGGTTGTATGGGTGATTCCTGTGTCTTTGAAGTTCTGTTCCCACTGAAGATGAAGGCAAATTCCTGCTGATATTAATGGAGTTAGGATGTGTCCTTGTCTGTTTTTGCTGTTGTTTCTGCTGTTGCAGTAGACGTATTCCTTTATTAAAGTTTTTGCCTGGGGGAAAAAGCAAAGCCACGTTGCTAAATAAATTATGAAATATTTACATTTGTGAAGCCAACCCCTTATGCCTAGCTCCTCCTCTGATATTAAGATGACACTTTTTATAGACCTTCAGCTTCTATGCTGCCATTATTCCTCTGTTGGATCCGAGACCAGGAGGTGACAAAACAGCCACCATGAGCCAAGTGACAGTAAGTAATACCCAGGAATGATTGCGGATTTTGACTCAGTGCAGTGAGAAACTACTATAGCAGACCAGTGATGGTTTGTTTAGTGCAGGAGAGCAAAGTAGGATTAGAGACAACACTGAAAAAACCATAAAACTGGGGAGGTTTCTAAACAAAGCTTGATTTTTAACCTGACAATAAAGACCATATGTTGTACAAAATACCCATAATAATGATGATCCCAGGAGCAAAGTGTTAAAGGCATCAGTTTGCTAATCCCTATGTATGTTCTTTTTACTTTCTTTTGTATTTGTATTTACTTCTTTTTGCCTGTGGTACTCTCAACGCTACAAGAATGAATGCAGCTCATATTAGTGTCACCAGCTATAATGAAATGATCTGCAGTTACTCTTGTGAATGTTTTGCATCTCTTGTTTTGACTGTATTTGTACATTAGCTTTAAACCTTAGTAATAGCTTCCTTTAAAAAAAATGGTTTAGCATGTTGTTCAAATATGGTTCAAACTGGTTAGCCTAGCTTATGAATTTCTCCCTCCTACTTTTACCTGTTTAATGCATTTGAGTTTACCTTATCCCAGCTCTTGTAGGTTTGGAAACAGAGAGGTAATGCCTTTCTCAGATGTTGGTTTGCGCTGTGGTTTTTTACCACTTGCTTAAGTCACTTCAATTTATGCCTTTTGCTTTTATCTCTGTGGTGTATCCTATGGAGAATGTATCTGTAAAATGGTTAAATATTAGATAACTATCATAGCAAATGAAACATCCTGTTAACTGGATTTTTGCACAGCTAACTCCAAAAGTTTCTCTGTCACAACACACAAGGCCTCTGACTCCCTTCTTGACCATTATAATGTTCCTTCTGCTCTTCCCTTGCTTCCCCTTTCTTGCTTGCATTCAGTTGTCTTGTTCTCTCTTCTTCCTTTGTCCTGCAAACTATTTTTGCTGCCATTTCTCTGTTTCTTCCCGTCTTTTGGCAGGTTGGTGAGCAGCTGGGAATACAACTGCACAAATTGTCCCTATCTACTGTGAAGAGTTTCTTTCTTTGCAAAATGTTCTGTGCAAAATTTTCAGTTCCTTCATTCTCACCTTGACCTTCCTGAAAAAAAAATATTTGGAGTAGTTAGAAAGCAAGAGATTACAGGATGAGGTTTCCTTGCATAGTGCCTATGATTGACAAGGTCAGGATGTGAAAGGGAGCAGCTTTCAAAGCATGGAAGAGTTTCTGAAATTGTGATGAAGTGGAGAACAGTGGTGCTTACCACGTTCCTACTAGTGAACAAATAACATTTTAAAACTGTGTTATAGCAAGAGAAATATTGATATTTGGCTGACAGAACATTACCCCAAAAAAGAACTCTGGAAAATGGCAGACATAAAAGTGCCCTAGAGCTAAATACTCTCACTCTTTAGAAAGTCATAAGTAAGCAACAAAAAGAAAACACTTGGTGACACAGCTTTTAGTGAGCTTTTCGCAGGTTTTGGAATGTAATGGAGAAACCATGCAGTGCTATAATGTGATACATTTGCGGGCATTAATACATGTGAAGACAGATTTTTGGATTACTGTATTATGATGCACAACTCTCTGGCTAATTTGCATGCAACATTTCTATGATTAATAAATGAGGCAATGCTGGAAACTACTGTACTACATTGAACCACTTGTAGCAATTGCCAGCACTCCAGCATGCAACAGTAAATACTACGCTCTGCTCCTGTAAGCTTTGAATATTTGAACATCAGTTTGCAGTTCCCAGGCTGCAAAGTGATCAAAGGAGGGGAAGAATGTTCCTTACTTTTATCCCTCTTACAGAGAACCAGAATAGTCAGCAGATACCTTGTGTAGAAATGTCAAGCAAACGCAAATGGAAAAAATAAAATCAAAAGGACTTACCAAAATAACGAGTAAAAGTGTAACACAGCTCTTTATAAAAATCAAGATATATTTTTCAACTCAATGTTTCGTAGTTAACAGTTTTAGTAAAATGAACATGTAATATTTGCATAGAATAGCATACTCTCAATACAGGGATAAATAATTTAAAGATCATAATACAATTTTTTTAATGCAGACTCATACAATGGGTCTGCATTAAAAAAAATTATTATGCTGTCTGAATCCAAAATCTAAAAGTGCTACAACTGATTTCTTGGTTCAAACACAACTTCTTTTACAGCATTCATGCCAAATTTGTGAGGATTATAAGAAAATTCAGAAGATTAGATCTATAATCTGGTATATTCAGTATAAATAAAAAAGTGTCAGATATGTGACAAATATTGCTAACAACTAAGAGTATCAGGATATCTAGAATACACCAATATTGCTATCCTAGCTTGGAATTTCAGATCAGGCTCTCTGCCTTTCACTATGAAGAATTTTTTCCCTGCTACAAAGGGTTTTTCCTCACACTAACACAATTTTTTCTCAGCCTAACACAAATTTGTTAACCTCCATTCTCATTTTTTAATTCCTGTCTTTTTAAGAAACCTCTTGTGAAATTAAAGAGGTGCATCATGTTCTTGCATCACACCCTGAGCACAGTTAGGCTTTGGCTTACTGAGCTTTCAGGTGACGCTGCCAGCACCGCTCTGCCTCCTGAACATTTTACTGCAGGCATGGGCAGCTTACATGTTCTGAAGCAATGACTATATTAAGTACCCAGTGATGTATCCTTCCCAGGAGCTGAAAATAAAGGTATAAAAGAAATCTGCACAATAATTTATGGGCGTTAACATATGGGTGTAAGTTTCTCTATGGGTAATTATGTGGCTATGCTAATAACGCCAAGGATACTTTGTTACATTAAAAAAAATTCTCACAGTGATGTTATTGAGCATTTCATTAGTCAGAAATATGCCTGCAGACCCTTGTGACAAGACAAAGCACCAGGCTACATTAGCATGCCTTGAAGAAGGTTCCCAGCTCTGAGAAATTGCTCCCAAAGCTTCCTCTGACTTGCTGGCAGGCAGCTGGCATGGAGCCCCAGAGTCCTTGAGAAATCCTCCAATACATTGCTCATCACTCCCATCATGAGAGCTTCAGTTGCTGTGGAGACACCAGAGCAATTCCACCACAAAGGCTGCCCTGTGAAGTGGGCTCAGGCTGCCATACCTCTGCCTGTTTTCCAGTATTGTAATTGCTCAGCTGGAATTAAACTTCACACAGTTTAAATTTTAAAGCCTTCACGTTTTGGTTTTTTTTTTAGTTTTAGTTTTTCTCCAATGTTTAATCCTTTCACCTCTTGCATCAATTGTAAAACTGCAGTTTACAGTACAGCAGTGTGAAACTGCACTATTCTAACACAGCAAATCACTGACACACAATTACCAGCATTAGGGAAGCATCCTCAGGGATACAGGTGTTTACAGAAGAACCAGCCAGGTTTTTTGAGCAGCGTCAGGGAGGCAGAGTCCTGCCCTTGCTCTGGCTGTGGGAAGGGCAGGAGATGCCCTGGTGTGGGGGTTTGGATTTGGAGAGGCTGTGTCTGCATTTCCTGCGCCCCACCAGCGTGTCAGGCGTGCTGGGACCGAGCCTCGGCTTGTGGAAATGATTGCAGGGCAATTTATACCAAACAACCACCCCTACTGCTGTGTTTGTTACAAACTTGGCTGCACTACAGTAATGTTTAGTGGATTAATAATGTTTGCTTTTGGCCTCTCCTACTCCCTCGGCAAACAATTTTCATTTATAATAGATGTTCTTGTTTCATCTAACTAGAATAGAGCCCAAGGGTCAGAATAGCCAAACCAGCATGCTGAGAAGAGACTCCAGGTTTCCACACAAGGCAGCAGCTTTCTTCCCTCTCCAAGCCAGGGTCCAGTGTTTGGGCCCTTCTGCAGGGTCAGTTTTACTGAGCAGGTTCCCCTGAAACTGCAGTGAGGCCACACCACACATCCCCTTTTGCAGGAATCAGTCTGTCCAGTCAAAAGGGTCACAGTGGGCAGAAGAGGCAGCACAGAATCACTGCGACAGACAGATATTTCTTGAGTGTTTGGCATCTTAAAATAGAACAGCATATTTTAAATTTAAAAACCTTATTAATATACCTATAAAATAGGCTAAAAGTAAACATTTCACATAGGGCATGCTGCGAGGGCACATGAGGGTAAGTGGCTTATGGTCTTGCATTTTCGAAGAAAGCCCTAAAGCTTTTAGAATTACAAACCCTTTAAAATCTATCCTGTTTATTTTGTTGATTATTAGCCTCTTTGGGGAAACAGTCTGCCCATGTTTCATAACATGAAAATACAATGATAGGCAAATACAGAAGTTACACAACAAAAGCAAAACTTAATTAAAACTGTTTACAGTCAAAAAAATGAGAGAACCAGATCTGCAGCCTTTTTATTGCTACACCACTGAAATGAGTGTGCACAGCCAGGCTGCTGAGGTGCTTATAGTTCTGTATGGTACAGCTGTTTCTCTGCATCTTCCCACTGCTCTTTATGCCTCCTCAGTTACAGCTAAAATGGAGGCAACCAGTCTTGGTTATAATGAAAGAGGAATGTTTAAGTAGTCTTGTAAAACATTATGACAGCTATTAATCGACCAAGTAATTAAGTACAGCAATCAGCACGTATTTCAAGTGATGCAGTGGTGACTCCTGGCCTGGGGAGCAGAAGGTTGGCAACACTGCTGTGACAACCAGTGGGACAGAGACAGAACCCTGTGACCGAGTATTTGAAAATACTACAAGAAATACAGGTTGTTACACTGATCCAGGTGCTCTCTGACACACATGGTGAGCTTGCCAGCACTGTCTCCAGCAGAGGATTTCTTGCCAGTCCTATACACTGAAGTTGTGCTTACACAAAGCCGTGGGCAAGATACAGGAGCTCAGACAGGCAGGTTAGGTCAGTGTCTGCCCTGAAAAGATAGGCAAGAGAAATTAATTTGGTCTTGGCTTATCTGAGCAATGCCCTACCATGCCATGGCTCAGTGCTCTGTGTCACTGGCAATTTTCACTGCCACAAAAGGTGCTGCTTGACCACAGCTAGCAAAACAAGAAGTAAATATGCAAAACAATCTGACAGGCATCAGAGAAAGAACATTATCAAACAAATTATTTATCGAATGTTATTGGGTCATATGGAGGGAAAATAAAATAAAAAAATTCTTGCAGGATACCTAAGTAACAAAACTATTCTCACTGAGCCATGAGACTCAAGCTACGAGCTACCTTCAACCCAGACTGGTTAATTATGAAACTTATTCCTGTACAATTCCCTTCATTATGCAGGCCACACAGATTATTTCTATCTCTTCAAGAAATACACACAAGTATTTTCTGAAATTATATAGTTTGACACTTTTTACACTTCATTGTTTAGCTGATTGTTCAGGGTGAAAAGGAAAAGAAATCTTTGGCAACCTCTTGTGGTTGTGGGGCATTTCTTTATACCTACTTCTGTGGAGGATCAGTGGTGGGGACCACAAACACAGCAAAGCAGAAATATCAGTGGGACAGCCAGATCTTCAGACTGGAGTTTATATTAGCAATTCAGGAAAAATAAAGATAGAAACATATAAATAGGAACATATTAAACACAAGTACACTTCTGAAATTTGAACACGAGTGTATTGGGGTTTTGCAAATCAGCTTTGTCTTTACAGCAAGACCATGCAAACTTCAAGTCCTAAGCCTGAGACTGGACATATTAAAAATTTCAGCCACATTTATTGTAATGAGAAAATGTAGGTTAAATAATATCTTTCTTCAAATACATTCTTCTCTTTTATATCTTTTCCTCATTGTCTCAATTTTTCATTGGCAGCTATAAAACATTGTAACCAACCACAAATAGATGGAAGAGGTAGAATGTACAGACCATTGTTACTCCTTGTTTTTTTTATTCGTATTTCAGACGTTTATTTGTTTATAAAATTGTTGTATATTAATAAAAGCACTAGAAATATTCCCAAGCTATTGATTACAGATAATTTAAAGATTATTTAAAGTTCATTAATTCTCTAAAAATTCATCATGTAAAAATGAGGTCTTCCTGTCCTCAGATCTACTCATCTCCCTGTCTGGATCTAATTTTCTCAGCTCTTTTATAGATTCAGCCCAAGCTGAGCAGAAACAGTGATTTATCTCCACAGTGCCAGAAATCCAGGGCAATTTTGAACTATTTGGGGGTACTTATCCCTTGCTACCTGCCCAGTGCTGACAGCCCAGCTCATGAGAGAGGTTTCTCTTGTCCCTCCCATCCCAAGTTCAGCTCCACTCCCAAGGTGCACAGGGATGCCCGTGCAGGGTGTTCACAGAGATGTGCTTTGGTGCAGCCCCGTGCAGCAGCATCCATCCCATCCCATCCCATCCCATCCCATCCCATCCCATCCCATCCCATCCCATCCCATCCCATCCCATCCCATCCGGGATGGTGACAGGAGCCAGGGAGTGGAGCAGGGCCCAGCACACCCCCCCTGAGGGCTGCACAGCACAGGGAAACAGCCGCCCTTCACCTGCACAGCACCTGCTCCTACAGCTAGCAAGGGGATGGCCTGGCACATCTGGAAACTCACAGGGCTGCTTTTCAGAGTGAAAATACAGTTCAAGGGAGATATTTCCTACACTTCCCATGTAACGAGGGCTGTGCTGGTTGGGAGGAATGGTTTGTTACAGCTCTCTGGGAGCAGAAGTGCAGCTTTCATACTGGATTATCAAATGCCTGAAGGCTTTGTAGATCTGTTCATTCTGGGTACAGATGAAGCCACCACTTCTCCAAGCTTGCTCAGCAGCACGGTTCAAGTCCCCAATGCATGTCCACTGATCTTTGTATTTCCTTGAAACAGCCCATTTGGAATGATCATTAATGGAATGAAAGGTGGAGTTCAATGGCGTCCCTATTATGTTTATGTTGTAGACGTGGTAATCAAGAGAGCAATTTGAGTAAAGTTTTTCACCAGAACGCTGCCAGGATTCAGCCAACAAATCAGTCTTCAGTTCCTGAGCCATCCAGGCCACATAGATATCTGTGGAATAACACAGGGTGTGGGCAATCAGTGTTTCATGTTCCTTCATTTAACAACAGACTGAAAAGCATGATCTAAACTGTGCTAGTTTCGTTATCATGCATGAAGTCAGCCAGAGGGAATTTTGTCCCCTCCTCTTATTTTGACTTTTCCAGAAGTTCATTTCTACTTTTTCTCCTTCTAGAAAACCTGTTACAAACAAACAGCAGGAAAAAAGGGAAAGGCAAAAAAATTGCAAGTCCTCTCCAAAACAAAAAAAACCTCAGATGATTCACCCTCCCTATTTCTTCTTTGCTGTTACTGTTGAATAAAGGAACATAATTTTCCTGAAAATCTAATTGTTGAATACCTTAGGATGGACCAGACATCTTTTTGCTTTGTGGGGCTGAGAAAACATTAGGATGGGACAGCACGCCTTGCCTTCTGTTACTTTTATTTCTGAAGCTGAACTTCTTTTTTCCCCTTCAGAGAGAACACTAATTTTAAAATAATTTATTAATTCATATTTTAAGAATGAATTGAGAATGTGTTATATGGAGAGCAAAAGGTTCTCTTACCATCTATGAACAAGTGTGACTTTGCAAACTGGAGAAAGGTTTCCCCATGAGCTGACTGGAGCTTGGAGAGGTGGTACAAGGGGACTGAAGGTAGCCTGGACTTTGCACAGAGTTTCTGAAGATTTGGGAGATCAGCTTGGAAGATGTCAGGGATGGAACAGCTGTAGATTCCCGGATTATAAATCAACATCTGTTGGTCTGAGAAAAACCCACAGATATGAACACATGCAGAAATAAAATGGGTTAAAGAAAAGCAATCAAGAAAGCAAAGTTCTGTCTTGGACAGAAAACCTAAATCCTTCTTAATCTTCACAGCCTATCTCCTGGATGAGCTAAGTGTCAAAGTGTCTTATTTTAGCAACCAAGAATTTGTATTGCTTTGTATTCTGACTGGCCCTGCAGCACAAAGTCTGGCTGCGACAGTACGCTCAGGCTTTCCACTTACACCTCATTATTTCTAGCAGAACTGTTAACTGGTGGTTTTGGTCCACTGCCACTTCCACCCATGCTCATGATCAAGCCTCTCTGCAGCCATGGAGCACTCAGACATCACATGTAAATCCAAACCTGTCTGAGTTTGCAGTCTCCAGTCAGTTACAGCTGCCAAGCCAAATGCAAACAGAGGAGGTGCCAAACGATCTAGTTTGGTTTTAGGGAGAACAGAACTTGACTTTCAGCATCTGGCTTGAATTTGCAGAAGAAATCTCCTTTTCTGAACAGTGCACAGCTCAACTGTAGAAGTCCTTGCCATGGATAGCATAAACAGCTAGGGAACAAAGGGGCTCATTAGATGAGTTAATGGAAGACCAGTCCATCAGAAACATTCCAGTCTTTCTGGCTCAGGAAATCCCTGAACCACAAATTAGCAGATGCTGCAAGGATGAGACAGAAAAAGCATTAGCATACGCATCTCATTTTTTGTCCTCTTCTGCTAAACACATGCATAGATGTGTTTCCACAAACAGGAACCTGGGTTAGATAGCTCTGAGGTGTGGCCAGCCTGGTAATTTGCACGTGTGTCGTTGATTGATTTGATTTGAGGTTTGTAAGTGAGAGAAGAGTGAAAAAGAGTGAAAAGTGTGAAAAGAGTTGAGGAACATGCCAATATGACTTCTTGTGATATCTTTCAATAGTTTCTTTTTAGGATTCCAGTACGAGTTATCACTGCCAGATAGCTCTGAATCTTGAAGCTGAATTTTTTTGGGTTTTGGGTTTTTTTATATATTTAGTATTGGCAATTTTTGTGGCAAAGAAATACCTGGGAAAATTCTAGGTGATATTTATTCCAAACTTCATATTTCTGATGAGTCAAGGCTACTACTCCAGCTCAAGCAGTGGCTGCCTTACATTTTTAGAACTGCAGATGACTGTTGCTGAGGTGATTAATCATCCTACTTTGTATTTCCAAAGCATTTTGTTTGCATGGACTGAGCTTACTCTTGATATGCACTTGTGACTATTATTATCCTAATAGTTCCCACAGGGAGATGAAAACAGAGTGGAAGAGTGAATTTCCCACATTCACACAGGAAATTATTGGATAAACACAACTGAAGCCAAGAACAATCTTTCCAGGCCCCACTTGGTTTCCCAATGTCAAAAAGAAAGGTCAAGAACAAGGAATTTTTGAGGTGAAACCTCAAGGAAAGCAATCAGAGGGGTGTGGTGGGACAAAGGCTTTCAAAGAGAGAAGCTTTTCGTACCTATTTCTGTGAACTGATCATATTTGAAGGTTATACAGATGGCTGTCTGTCCGAAGGACTCCCCAGTAGATGGATATCCATAACCATCCTCAGGGATGGGAGGGAACAGGGGCACACTGTGAATCACCCAGAAGCCTTGTGATTTATCCAAGAGCAGAAATCCTGTCAAAGTAAAAGTTACTGCAAATTAATAAAGGAGGAAAAAAACCCTGAGATGATAGAGGTGTGCCCTACTTTGGTTTTGCTGCTGCAGACACCACATTTCAGTGTGTTAATGTCTAGAGTAAGCTGTTCTAGAGTAGATTAACAGACCATAGGAGACATCAATTTTATATTAAAATTGCATCAATTCTTTCCTGCATAACTTAAACTGTCATCATGTTTTATTTGAAAAAAAAATCCTTTCACACCCCCTTCCTCTGTTCAAATTTTGTCCTCAAGAATTCCAACAATTTAGTGGTTGTGACCCTCTCTCCATCTCTCATCTTTCTTCACTTCAAACAGTCACTGGGTGAGGGGAAACAGATTCTGTCAACACCGTGTCTTCTGTCTCAGACCAAACTGTCCCCCATGGGGAAGCAGCAGAGAAACAGACCATGCTTCTCACCTCCAGGGTGGATCATGGCTCCTGAGCTGTGCCCATTGCTGCAGCCTGAAAATACAGCCCTGCAAAATGTGCTCATTTCCACATTAGGCTGGGCAAACCCCATCTGCTTCCTCAGGGGAACATTTAAACTCCACTGAAGTTTACACTCATTTAAAGTCTCGATTTTCAGTAACTACATCCTACAGCACTTCCATGATCTTGGCAGCAGTTTCTTGCCCCAGAAAGTTTGAAGGGGTTTCTGTTGAGGGAATGTTTCCCCTCACATCTTGTACTGTTTTGCCATCAGGCACAGGACAGTGCTAAAAGGATTTGTATTAGCTTCAACTCTTGAAACAGAGAGTCCATAAGCCCCAAGAGCCTTCACACAGCACAGGCATAGCAAAACCAAAACAGAAGCTGTAGCATAGGCAACTATACAAAAACCACACACCATGCAAATCACTCTTCAGTTTTCCTTTAGGCAGGAATTTTAGATATGCAGGTAGACAAACAGACAAGAAGTAGATGCTATCTGCAACTTTAGAAAGGAGAAAATAGTAGTTTGGGACTCTCCCTGTACCTTTGGTGTGTCCATGTTTCGACCCTTTGGAGTCTGATTCAGGGATCTCATCATTGTACATGGCATATGCAGTGGTGTACCTCTGCAGGGAAACACACATTTCTGAAACACGACATTCAGTAAGAGGAAGGCATTTAAGCAAAAATCTGCCGGGAACAGAAGAAAGAATTCAGAATTCCTCTGTGTGAACGTCCTGCCTCCAGTTCAGCTGACAGTCTCCACAGACATTACAGCAAAATAAACCTGAAGACTCAGCATTAGGGCCTCAGCTGACATGAAGTGGAAGCTCTCTCAATCACTGCTGTAGCCCTTTCCCAAGGGTTGAACATTGAATATGCTTGCTAAGCCAGTTTACATGGGTTTAGTGGGAACTTGCAAAGAAGTTCCACTCTCTGTTTTTTTGGGCCTCTCTCTGATTTAGCAATCAGATGGGGTAAAAATATTTGCTGAGTAAAAATGACAACTGTTGTTATTAAGGGCAAGCAATTAAAGCTTTTTTTGCAAAATATTTGCATATGGCCACACCTTTTTTCCCCTGAGTAGAGAACTTCAAAGGAGTTGGGACATGCCTCTTCTCCTAATGTACTATGAGCTTGTAAACAGTTTATTACAGCTGCACTAGGACCTGGGATTGGACAGTTTTCTGGACTGCCAACATTTGAGTGACTTTTGGGAGTCTCTTCTATGCACAAATTAATCACACCCTACCACAAATCCACAGGAGAAATGCAAAGACACAACCAGACTCCCAACAATACTATATATATGGGAAAAAATAATCACAGGGAAATCTTGTGATATTTTACAATCACTTCATACAAATATAAGTGGAGTGCCTGAGGGTGGGAACACAAAAGAAGCAGCATATCACTGCTGGAGCAGTCACAGTGATTTCAGGGGGACAATGAAAACCCAGATTTTATTTGAGTCAGAGTATGAACACATGCACATACGAGGGCTTAGGACAAGTGTCTGTAACAATTACCACTGACCTTGGTTTGAATTCACAACTTCAGATGTTGCTCAACATAAATTGCAGAAAAGAAGCCAAAGTGAGAATGTATGAACACCCTTGTTTTGATGGACAATACTCTAACTATATGAAAAGCTTGACTAGAAATTAGAAGTTTGAGAATTATCCCTAATTGTAGCCAAAACTGCAAATAATCTGCCCAACTGTCAAGGTGCTCCCCCCCTATGTGTTTTAGCAGATCCATCGGTCAGGCCTGGCCTTATATGCTTATTTTGGCTGCTTGCATGTCATCTGCATATAGGATCAAGTAACCACACGAACAAAAGCAAAATGTCACTTGCCTTGGATTCATATGTCTCATACAGCTGCTGCAGTGTTTGGCCCAGAGCACCCTGTGTCATGTTGATTAGGTATTTACCAAGCTGCCACTGTGGAGCCAGGGCATCCATGTACAGGTACTCCAGTCCCAGCATGGGAATCTGTCCTTTGGCATGTTTTGGCAGCTTGTAAAGAGCAAACCTGCAAGAGTGAAAAGCAATTGTTTTTTTTTATCACCACCCTGTTTGGATGTGTAAATGCATATCTCCTTCCCTAAGAAAAAGAAGGGTGAATCTAGGGATGCCTGGGCTGGAGGGGGAGCAGTGTGGACATCTCAGCCACAAAGCAATGACCCAGCCCAGGAACCAACTGCAGTCTGGCAGCACAGTCCCTGCTGCAAACAAATTTGTTCTGCTTCTTAGCAAGCAAGGGAGGCTGATTCAGCACCAAACTCCTGTTGCTGTGGCCACACTGCTGTCGGTACCCCTGAAGAATTTGAGGTAGCCTTGGTTGAGTCCATGAAATCCCTGTTGCTCCTAGTTCTGGTAAAGAACCTCAGGTCCCAAACCCAGTCTAACATTCCCCCAGGTCAAACACTTTCTATATTATATAAATATGGTTTTATATTAAATAGATAAAATTAGGTATTGAAATTTAAAATGCATTATATTATGTTTATATGTATCATAATCACAAAATAAGTATAAAGCAAAGTGATAAAATGTAGATCCAGTCATACTTTCCATAACAGACTTGCACTGATGAATTGTTGCGGACTGGAAATTTTCAAAGCATTAGCCAGGAATACAAATCTCTTCAAAATTGTGAAGTACTCAATACTGTCAGTAAATGGCTCAGTTCATACTAAGGTTCCTGATAAAGTAAACAAGTTTTCCCAGTGTGCAAGTCCATGGGATTAACCGCAATGGAATTAACTCACCCACTTTCTCTGAGGGCCGTAATTGATTAATTTGCTATTTATGTCAACTGTAAGGATTGAGTGGCATTATTTTCAATCTACACTATTTAACAGAAATGCAGCCTGTGCTTAACCTCTCAAGTATATCAGGAGGAGTAAACCTTGTTCAGTTGACTTACAGGCTCAAGTTGGTCACAAAAGACATCTCCAAACACAGGTAAGAAGTGGCAGGAAAATATTTTGCTAGAGAGGAATATTTAATCCACAGGAAATGTACACGTACAAGCAAAAGAAAAACACACACCAGTGGCAGTCCTGGTAATTCACCTGCATTGCCACTGACTGAATCATCTCCTCAAAGTATCTCAAGAGAAATAATTTCTGATGACAGATCACAGAGAAGAAAGTGATTTATATAACTCGGCTGGGGAGAGTGGTCTGTGCCTATACATGCACCAGGAGTCATAACAATCCCCTCATTTGAAATAAAGATTTGAAATTGAGATTTGGAAAGGAGAGGAATAGCAGTAGTTACAGTACTGATCCAGGAATTAGTACATGAAGCTTTTCCAAACCACTTTGAAGCCTACTAAAAGATTTTTGTTCTGGAAGTGTTTACAGCCTTGCATCTGACAAACCCACCTTAGCAGATATGTTTACAAAATGCTAGTCACTGAGCTATAGGAAATTGCCTGCCACTTCCCAGTAGATACATGCTTTGGCACTTTCCAGAAAGCCAGCTGAGTGTATTACCAATTAAAGTTGTATAAAATCTTTGGTGCTATTTGTGCACAGGAAATTTCTCAAGAACTCAGGCATTTGTGGGAGCAGAGTAAAAGTTATTTTCCAGGGAACCAAGAAAGAGCAAATCCGCTTAAACCGGATTAGCATTGTCACATTGTTTGCTTGTGACTGAACACTATAAGCAAGAATCACATCTTTACTTCTTCCCTTCCTCCCCACACCCTCAAAAAAAGCCCAAACAAACAATGTGCATGGTGGCTTCAGTCCTTGACTCAGCATTTCTCAGAAAGCATAGTTCTGGCTTTTATTTGCAGGGAAGGCTTCCCACAGACTACGGTGAGTTTAGATGAATAAAGGAAAGACTCCGCCCTCCTCAGACAGCCGATCCTGCGGCTATTGCTTGGGTGGCCCCTGTGGGAGGTGCAGTGAGGACCGTGGGACGAGATCCCAAGTGAAATGAAAACACAGGAGAGATTTCTGCCCGCCCAGGTACTGCGTGCGGGGAGGAGCTGCCAGCCCAGCTGGGGAGCACAGATGGGATCAGGGCAGATAAAGCAAGTGATCCCTCTGGTTGAGTGGCAGATGAAAGGGTGTGTGAATACTGAGCAGTCATGGAATACTGCAGGATGAAACCAGTGCATAGCAGGAACGCACATAAACCTGCTGCTAATTGAAAATAACGCAGTGTTGTTTGCTTAAAAGGACATTGACATCTTTTGTTTAAGAGGAGGCTCATCTCAGCAGTTTCAGTTCTGCTTCTCCTGTCAGCTTATAGCAACCAAATCCAGAATCCAAAGGCTGACTTCTCAGTAAACCAGAATGACCCCAGCAGAAAGGCAAGCTTCTCTTCTTTTGATTAGGGCATATCGAAAAGGTAATTCTCCTGTCCTACCTGCTAAATTTGTGAAAAGGAACATGGATTTGCCTGTGCAGACCCTGAAGTTCCCTCCTGGAAAAGGCCCCATGTCACTGGCATTGACACAGAGGCACAGGTGAATTACTCCTAGCCCCAGCCTTCAAAGAATTTCTGAGAAAACATTAATACGAAAATTGTATTCCTCTAAAAAATCGACAGTTTCATATATATATATATATATGTGTCTGTGGGTTTTGTTTGTTTGTGTTTTTGTGTTAATTTGTTTGTCATGAAAAACTACATTCTGCAAGGGATAAATCTAGGTAAGGGAGAAATAAAATATCGCATGCCTTTAAGTTCCTAGGTAGCTACACCAACTAAGAGTCTGATTCCTGAAAAAATGACATTATCCAAAAGGGCTTGGCAAAGGTGACAAGTAATGGGAATGGATTAGAGGCTCATATATTTGATGCTATGCCAACAGAGAGCAAAGCCAGCTTTGTGCTCCTGCCTGTGGTGTGAGGAGCACCTGCCTTCCCTGCAATTAGCTCTGCGTGCAAGTAAAGGGATGGGCCTACTTCTTTAGCACTTGTATCCAAACTAATTATTGCTCACAAGAAAAACATTTTTCTTTTGAAATTGGTTGATACTTATCTTCAGGAAGCACTTTTTAAAGAGCCCTCATTTCACTTTTAAAATCTGGGCTGGATATTATGCAATCGTACTTTACATCTTTTAATGCTGAAAGCTCATTAATCCAATTAATCATGTAATACCCGAAGCTGGGCTCGCTGCTGGCAGCGGGATGGCACGGGCGGTACCGTGGCGGCAGCTCCGGGCACGGAGCGACTTCTGCTCCAGGGACAGGGCACAGGGGCTCGGCCGCGCTGCTGCCGCCAGCCCGGGGCGGCCCCCGGGGAGGGGCCGGGCCCCGCGGGGCCGCTCAGACCCAGCGGGAACCGCGGGTCCCTCCCCGCCCGGTGCGTCCCGGGCCGGCCGAGCCGAGCGCCCGAGCCCGGCCCGGCCGTGGCCCCGCGCAGCCTTGGCACCCAACACAGCTCCCGCTCCCTTTGATCATGAGACGTGAACGCCGTGTAAAACCGTGACTGATTGTTCCGCAGTTAGTCATGATGCAGCACGGTGGTTGATTCAGGGAAATGAAACCAGATTTCGGTAACTTATCCTAGGCTTTTCAAAGGCAGCATTCTGCCACGACTCTCACGCCAACAGCGCCGAACCAGCGGTTGCCTTCGCATGGCTTCTCGGTGAGCCACCCACTTCCCGCGGTTTAATCTCAATGTATTTATTTACTCTCCCAGCCTTGCTCCCTTGCACGGCATTTACTCACCAATCCACCGCCTCCCCGTGTTCATTCCTGCAGGAAAGCTCAGCGGCCCACAGGGGCACAGGGGAGAGAAGTAAGAGCAGAGCAGGGTAGCACCACGCGGATCCCGCAGGCATTTTGGTTTCCCGGTGCGCAGGGCGAGCCGCGAGTGGCTGTAAAAGGAGAAGTTCAGCGAGTCCTGTCAGCTCCTGCCCACGGAGCAGGGAGCACGCCCGGGACGGCGCGGCCGGCCGGGGAACGCCGCTTCCACAGCGGGGACGGCCATGGACAGGGGCGAGGGCTCCTGCGAGCCGCCGGAAACTGCTCGCCATTTCTTTGGGCAACAAAATGACATTTGGCAAGTTATGTTTTTAACAAAAAACAGAAAAAAATACTTTGGCTATTTAGACTACTCATTGTATTCTGCTTAAAAAAACCTCCAACTTGCAGATACCGAAACCCTTTTTGTTTTCTTTTCAGCTCTCCATGACTGCCGTACAATTTTTTCACAACTAGCTGAAAAAACCCGTGGTGTTCAGACAAGCAAAACATCATTTCCCGCTCACTTCTCCGCCCAGCCCTTGCCCCGCGCCGGCAGAAAGAGCTCCCGGGCAGAGCCCGATGCGGCTCCGGCGCTGGGCACCTCCACTCACCCCTGGGGACTGGGCCCGCAGGGACCGAGCCAGAGAAACGCTCTGACCTCCGAACCAAAAGAATTTACTTACAATTAGCTAAAGCTTTGTTCAACTACTTTAAAGTGCATTAACATTTCTCTTAGGAACAAACATGTCTGAATGAAGCGATTTCACATCTGATAATCTTTTAGCAACTCACACATAAAAAGCTTCAATTTATATTTTGGTGTAGAAAATGCTCTTTCTCTATTCTCATTATGCCTACATGAAAAGGGTCTGATTTTCATTGAAAGTTGTTGATACAGAGTATGAGATATTTCAGCCTCATAGAAAGTCTAGTGCAATGAGCTCTGGCTATTTTAGCACAACAGAAATCCTCACAACCTTTGCAGAATTTTGTCACCTTGCTAGTACAGCCTCTCCAACACTAAGAGATGTGTAAATGGGGTGTATTTGACAGAAGCAGGATAAAACTTAATAATAGGGCTTAATGAAAACAAAACCAATGATCCCTGAGAAGAGACTCAGTGAAGGTCTATGTAGTCAGGACTAACTTGCAGATGACAAATGAGAGACTAGTTCACTGTGACTCTTGTTCTATAATCTGTCCCCCAGAAAATTTTAAAATTTTATCACAGCTGCTACGAATACAATAATAGTCTCCTAGAGCATTTTTTCTTCCTATCAGGACTCTGAAATATGTAATGAAAATATTCTCATTATCACAGGTAACTACAAAAATAAAGACCATTAGTCCTGTTTATGTTTCACTGACATTGTTGCATGACAGCATAACTCAGGCTTCCGCTGCATTTCTTTACTACTGGTACATGTTTTCTTTGCAGATCAATGACCTTGAAGTCCTCAACTGTGAATATGGCAAGAATTCAATTAAGTTCCTTCGCCTCCATAAAGAGGGAAAGAAGCATTTTGTTAAAGAAGTGGAAGTGTGTACACATCTCCGGCTGACTTCTCCTCAGGAGTACCTGGAAGGAAAAAATTCCCTTGTGATACCTACAGACACCATAAAGAATATTGTCCTTGTGTTGGCCAAAAAAAATGGGGTATTTTTTTTTTAACTAGCCTTGCTGTTTCTTACAACTTCATTTGGAAGCATCGCTTATACTAACTTTTTATATTCAATTTGCATATCAGATCAGTACCAAAGTAATTTTCAGTGATTTTAGTTTTCCTCCTCCACTGCTTGTCCTGTGAACTCTTTCTTTGTTTTCCAAAGCCTTTTTTTCTCAAGAGTTACCACTTTTTTTTGTGCATTTATCATATAAAAGCCATCTTTTTTTTTTAAATTTAATAGCCCATAATCCCACATTATTCCTATATAGCATTTTTAAACAGAAGGTCTCAAAGTGTGAGACTCCTCTTAATTCTTCTGTGCTCTTACTGCCATCAATTGAATGTATCGTAATGACAATCTGTAGAACTAAATTTCTCCATAATAAAATCCCATCTTTATCCTGTAAAAATTAATTAGAATATCACCATATCAATCAGAATAATTGTGTAAATTATTATTTCAGCATTATATCCGCAAAGCATAAGACTCCTGCAGCAGTTTCTGTCAGTCCAAGGACTGCAGCTCACTGTACCACAGAATGGAAGATTTTCAACACAACTGTAGCTGCTATTTGCAGCATATGCTGCAAGCTGGTCAAATGACTGGGCACAGAGAGCCAAGCTAGATATAACAGAAATGTGTTTTTAACCACCCTGATTCTTCCCAAATACTTACAACAACCAGAAAAATCTACTTTTGTACATGAAGTAATTGCTTCTTTCTAATAATACTGTTTGCTGCCTTAGATCTCAAGTTTAGAACAATTTGCTATAGATATCTGCAACCACTTCATGACAACATTTTGCCAAGTGGCGTACGTCAAAACCTACATTCAAGAAGTACCATGGCAACGTCTGCATGAGGTATCTAAAATACTTATACATTCAATTTGTTTATGCTGTAGTCATTCCTCACTCTCTTAGCTCCTGTTTTCAAATTAACATAATAATATTTTACTTACTTTTACTTACATGTCTGCTCTAAATTGCAGGATGGCGTTCCCCACATCCACTCATTCATATGTGTTCCTGATGGGATCCGCTTTTGTGAAGCTGAGCAGTGCCGGAATGGTGAGAAAAGAATTGGCAGCGTCCCCTACTTCTCTGTAAATATTTCTGCCAATGAGAGATGAAGATGGCTTTAGAGATAGCTATGGGTGTTACAGGGCTTAGGGCACAGCCAAACTGCTCCAGAGGTCTAAACCAAAGAATATTTTTAGTAATTTTGAAGTTCTTGATCTCTGAGACACAGCTGAAGAACTGACGTAGCTCACATTTGTATGTATAGCCCAAACATGGAAGAGTTACAACAGCACATCCAGCAGAACTGTTACATATTGCCAGAGGATTTAACAGTCTTCTAAGAACAGGCTTTTCTCCCTTATACTTTACACCTTATACTACAACCTGCAGTCTCCTATGATCCTTACCTGATACCACACTGCTGCAGGCTAATTGCCTTGTTTGCAGTAATTTGCAAACTCCTGTCAACGTGCCCTGATTTTATTTCTAAGGAAACAGTTTCACTGCTGCAAGCCAGACTAGCTTGAACATGGTGAGCAAATGGTCTGTATGTGAACCATTTTTCACATGAAAATGCTTCAGAGTGTACTTAGTGTTTTTGCACACCACACATAAACAAAGCAGTATTTGGCTAGACCAAGAGTTTTGTGATACTTAAAAGACAGGCTTTCAAGTTCAGCTGTCTGTCCATGAATTGGCATTCCCAAGTAAGAGTAAAAATTATCTCTACTTGCTATAGCTCACAACAAAAGCCCAAGTTCAGTCTCACTGTGATGGTGTTCTGTTTAATGCACCTCCCAGATTACTGGGAAGTGAGCTGAGGCCACTGTATCATTTCACATAATGGCTTTAGAGGGATTAGGCATTAATTCAGTACCTATCTATACTACATTAATGTAACTTAGAACTATTTCCCATCCTATCCAGAACCAGTGGCAAGACCAGTTTCACTTGCAGACAGGACACAAGTTTTGAAAGGTGCATCTAAGCACTGTTCCTGTGTTCCTGCTGAAAGAACACAGAAAGCCTGTACAAGTCTCCAGTGTCTCTTGGTCTCATCTTTTTTAATGTTTCTAGTATTGTTAACTACTGCTGTACTTTTGGCAGCCTCAATAATATTGACTGTATTTTCTGGAAAACATTAAAAAAGACACCTGAATTAAAAAAAAAAAAAAGAAACAAACAAAAAGACTGTACTTTTTTGAAAAGCTGCTGCTCTTAATGTAGATTGTATTAAATTTTTCATCATCATGAAAATTTAACAAGCAATTCTGCAACTTCAGATTCTACACAAACAGAAAGCTTTTATGGCTTACTGTAGAAACCACTTTCCTTCTTAGACATCCCTTCATGTAGCCCTTTAGTTGTTTAGAATTCCCTGCCTAGGTGAACAATAACCAAAGTGAAGATTTTCAAATCACTTTTATTTTTCTTCTAAGAGAATGTTCTCTATATTTAGCATCCTCCTATGCACCTATCAGCCAGACACGGGAGTTAATCTCTCAGTTAATCCTATTGTTTAACAATTTTCTTATAATGAAGGAAAAACCCTAGTGAGATTTAATAGAATTATGTTTTGCCATTGTATCAGCTGATAAAAGGCTCAGAATTTTTTGGAAACTCAAAACATTCTAAGTAACTTAACAGAATTAAAATTTGTCAACTGAAGACAGCACGACCACGAAGCCTGCTGAAAGCACAGCATGAGCTGTTCACCTTGGAAACTCTCCCTGGGTGCTGTCTCCTTTGGAGAGAGTTTCAGGTTGATTGCTGCACAGTCAGCCCACTTTTCAGTCAATCTTGTTGCAAGGAGCTCTTTCAAATAAGGCTAAGTATTTGAATATAAGATAAATATATCTCCAGGTTCACTGAGAGTACCTGCACTACATTAAAACCTGTGTCACAGTCTTATACCCAAGTAATGAATTATTCAAGATCAGTACAAACTCCAGAATATCCTGTCCAAGGTCAGTCTCCTTAGATTTTTTTACAGCTTTAGTAAATAATAGGGGGTCATAGGCAAAATGATATATGTACCTCCTTAAACTACTTCAAAAACAATAATGAATGTAAATAAGAAAAGAAATACATAATATGCAGTGTCAATAATATCCACTCATAGAGCAGTTTTAAAATACTCAAACCTCTAAATAACCATGCAATATAGAAATGCTTACCACAGTAGAATTATTTTCAGTATAAATTCCTTCAAAGACATCATTTAAAAACAAAATTTGTCAGTCTTCCATATTCCAGGCAGGATTACTATGCACTTGACATATTCAAGGACGAATTTTGAACTAGCTAGTGTGAGCACCAAGAGCAGCACAAAACCAGCAGCTTGGGCTTCAGCCCCTGACTATCTGCACAGGCCCTGAATAAGTCTGCATGCCATGAGGTTTCTCTTTTCTGAATAAACTTTTTTGACAGCTCTGGTCAGTGAAATTTTCAGTTACCATCTTGGTGTGCTCTAAATGACTGCTTGAAATTGAAATAGCCGCTGTTCAAAGGGTGTCAGCAGAAAAAAATCAGGTCACAACTGCTTGGTGTTTAGAAGACAATGATCCACCCATGCAGCAGTGATCCTCGACAGCTCATTTTATAAATAGTGGCTGAGAGCAAAGCCACTGTCAGTTTGAACCTGTGGGTGGCATCTGTATCAGTGCCAGTTCCTGCTCATTAGCTGAACTGCAGGGATTTGCATTGGCTCCTGGCTCTCATTCTCAGAGATGCAAAACTCCCAACAGGATGGGTATCTAAAGCAAATTACTGACTGAGGCTCTGTCTTTATACAGAGAACTTTTACATTTCTCTGTGTTCTTGGAAAAGGCCCCACACCTCTTGCTGTGCATCCCAGCACCGGTAGCCTATTTAATTTCAATTTAGAGCCATTCCTAAACTGACATCTGCATAAGCCAACCCAACACGTCCCAGTTCCAAGCGAGATAAAAAAGTCTATCCTCAGATTTTCTTAACTGCAGATCACTTGATGGGATTCTCCATTTTCTAGACTGAGCCTGACTTCAGTAGTTTCTGTCTCGTTTCTTACCTTTCTGCCAATATCAGTGTGCAGAAAGTTATTGTCTGCTTTCTGGCTCTAGAGCTGTCAATGCAAGTGTGCAACAATCCAAACCCTTTCTTTGTGTGAAAAGAAGCTCATATTTTCTTGTAATTTTCTATCACAGGTCCTCTGATTGTCTTTGCTGGAATTAAGGACCTGAAACTTATGAAGACAACACAGTCTGGATTTGAAGGCTTCTATAAGAATGAACACACCACACTGCCTGAAAGGCATGACAGGATTCTATGTGGAGAGCTCTTCTGCAAATGGTCATACGGCGAATGCAAGGATTTTGACTTTGACTGCATATGGTATATGCTATATCAAGTAATACTAATTTCCCAATCTATACTCACCAAGTCCCTCTATACAAATACAGAAGGTCTAAGGGCCAGATCCACAGCTGCTGTGCACCAGCCACTCACAGGTCTCAGTGGCAGCACTAAGCTCTTGTTATGAGGGGTGAGAGGCTTGTCTTAGGGGTACTTCTCTCTCCAAGGGTACATCATTGGACAGGATTCAAACAAACAGTTCAGTGTTCTGTACAGAACACTTTATGAGAATTAAATAACTAATCTGTTATATAGTTTTAACAAAACCTATTGGTGAATTATATATCTGGCAGGGGTGGGAAAAGATGCAAAATGTAAACAAAAACCACCCCACAGCAGAGCATTACAGATCTAAGCAGAGACAGCTGATGCAAGGTTTTGTAAAAACCTGTGTTACCTCTAGGAAGAAAATCCGTGAATGTATCCTTGAAGCCTTTGCTGGACCACCTGACTGTGGGGAATATTCACCCTCTTACCAGAAAACTATCAACTGTATCCAGATGCTTGTCCTTTCCAGAGTGTCACAGGTATCTTCTTTCCTCCTAATGATGTTTTACTTCAACAATAGTGAATTTTAATTGCACCACTGAGAAGACCAACATGAGACTGTTAATTCCTCTGGCAGTGCTAAGACTGGAAGTGCCCCAGCTGGGAACACAATGGGGGAGAACATCACAGAGTTCTTGGCAGCACTTGAATAAAAGTGAAAGGTGTACACATGTTCACTAGATTGCATTTGATCAGCTGCACTGGGGGCGTAGCATTGCTCTTTTTTACACAGAGTGAAAAGCCTGCCAGGCTGTTGACTGAAAAGGTGCCCTAATTCATTGTCTCATCCATTTTCATGGTTTCAGGTACAGGTCATAGAAGTCGTCTTGAACAACACCTTTTTTAATGTTGTAGACATGAAGAATCTAGGCTTGACCAATGACAAAGAAGTAAGTAAATGCTTCAAATACAACTTGACTGCCCTCTTTAGAAATACTCAGCCTCAAAGCACAGGAGTAGTTCTACATAAAACAGAGTTAAAGCAACCAAACTTTCTCCCAGTCCCAGTAAAAACTCCACATTACCTCTAAAAAATGCTTAAACTGATTACAAAAGGAGGATAAATAATTGCCTTCTTGTGTTATTGATAAAAGCTAAAGGTCAAGTGGAATATTCTGGACATCAAAAGGATCTGTAGCAGAGACTGTCTCTGAAAAATTCTTCCTGTTTTCTCCACTGAATTTGACTCTCAATTATAATTTCAACCTGTGTATTTTACCCAAGCAGAATGCACTGTGGCATCCCAGATTGGTCCAACAGTGAATGAGGTACAAGCCTGGGATCAAGCAGAGGGCAAGAGGTAGGGGGTAGGATGCATGGATGCTCCTCCCTCCACAGCTGCTCAAGCTGCCAGCTAGGTCCAGCTGAAAATCTGTTATGTTACAATCACAAGAAAGAGAAAAATTGGGCTATTCCATTGACATTAATAGTCTATAGTCTGTTTATGCTCTAGTCTCCCTCCCAAGTCTTGTGATTCTGCTACTGTGCTCATCTATCCTCTCCCTCCTCCAGGTAGACATTATAGATCCACTTGTACTTGTGATAATGTCAGCATCTACCACTGATGTTCATAAGAGAGAGAAAGGGTCTGGGCATGATTTTATTAAGGA